CAGATTCTGCGAAAACCCGACAACCAACACAAACATCTTCACCGTATTCTAAGTACAGAGATGATTACCGATGACAGATACAACCAGAGATACCTGTCACAGGGAATTTGGAAGTTGATGAAAAATCATTGTGTAAACATGATTGTATTCCTGACATTCTATCGGCGTAAACAATCGTTTCACCTCCGGGGTAATGACAGTCATAGAGTAAACCTGACACCAACATGCCAATTCACAAAGACATACGCAGATGTTCCCTTCAATGGAAGCCACTTGTCAGAAATGATCGGCAGATTCAGATATATTGACAGCTGAAGTTATATATTAATCTTGAGGCCCCGCCCTCCCACCTTGGGAGACTTTCTATTGGTGCTTTAATGTGATGAGTGGCTCCAGTGACCAATAGAGAGACTCGAGAGACAGGAGAGGGCAGGGCAAAGTCCAGCTTGTACAGGATCTGCATATAACTTCCTCTGCCCCTATTTCTGGATCTACTGATCGTTTTGACATATGACTTGCGCTGAAGGCAACCGTCACTTATGTATTTCATTCTCATGACACCCAGGCTGGTAACAGGGTTGATATCTGCTCAGACATCCCAACTCTCCCGGATGCTCCAGAAGTCTCCCGCTTTTAGAGAGCGGCTCCTAGCCGCCCAGGAGGCAAACATTTTCTCCCGGAAAGGTTTAATTTGCTGGATATAGATTTCCTACGATCTTTTTTTTTTTGACTTCAGGGCCGCTGGCCGCCATCAGTCAGAGGGAAAAAAAAGCATAGGAATGAATAGCTAGATTGCTATTGGCTATTTCACTTTGCAATAGCCAATAGCAGACTAGCTATTGCACCCGTCCACTGCTGCTATCAATTAGCAGAAGTTCTCCATCAGGTCCTAGTCTAGTAATTGACAGCAGCAGAGGGTGTGTACAATAGCCAGCTTGCTATTGGATATTGCAAATTGAAATAGCCAATAGTAATCTAGCTATTCATTCCAATGCTGTTTTTTTGTTTGTTTTTTTTTATTCTGAGGGCAGCAGCTGTCAGAATAAAAAAAAAAAGCCAGCAGATAGCAAAGAAGCTATTGCTTCCCTTGCTATCTGCCATCATTTCAGGGGGGCAGAGGGCACCTCCCTTAAATGAGAAGGGCACTTCCCTGAAATTGCTTTCCTCATGTTGGGATCCATCCCTGTCTGCTACTATTCAAAGTGTTGGTGATCAGGAAGAATGACCAATTACCCCACAAATGTCACATAAAGTCATCACAAAGTTCCTGTTGTTCTTTTTATTTGGTAAAGAAAATTGCTTCAATATTCTTTGAACATGCATTAGATCTTTCCAAAGCATAATTCCATCCATGGACAGCCTTAGATGAGGTCCACCAGGGACCGGGAGGTCCTCATACTATCAATCTCTGCTTACAGACATGGGATATTTTTGGCCTCATGCCAGGGCTGTCACTAGGATATTTGTTGCCTAAGGCGATTAGATGTTGTTCTGGGCGTTGAGGGTTGG